CCAAGGCATGTACCGACTACAGAAGGAAAGGGAATTCATTCTACTCATCGTTTACGTTGACGACCTGCTCTACATCGGCTCCACTACTGACATCGCCACCTGGTTCGAAGGGGAGCTGAAAAGGGACCTGACACTCACGGTGTCAGACACCGTAACCCAGTACCTGGGTCTAAATGTCGTCGAAGACAACTCAGCGTTCTACCTATACGCTGGAAAGTACGCAGGCGTTGTCGCAAAGAAGTTCGGACTAACACCAACTACAGTCGCGACTCCCTACCGCTACGGGAACAACAACGACACCTCCGCAAAACTCCCCACATAGCAAATCCAGGAGTATCAACAGAAGCTCGGCTGCCTACTATTCGCAGCAGTAACCTGCCGACCTGACCTATCCTACAGCGCAAGCCAGCTGGCGACGCATCTGAAGCAACCGGAACAAGAAGATCTCGAAGAACTAAACCAGGCACTACTCTACTTCGTCTCTACGCCGACGACTGGACTCACCTACAGCAAAGTAACAACACCATCCGTACAACTACTCGGATACGTCGACGCCGACCACGCGGGAGACAGGGAAAATTGACGATCGAGAACGGGCTACATCTACCGACTAGAACCTATCGGGACTATCTCCTGGCAGTCAAGCAAGCAGGAACTAATCGCACTATCTTCGGCTGAAGCAGAATATATCGCCCTCTGTACTGCGACCAAGGAAGGACTCTACCTACGAGAGTTACTCGAGGAAGCGAAGATCACGACCCTGCCCGTCTTCTCACTCCTCTGCGACAACCAATCTGCGATCAAAATCGCGAACAAGGACGGCTTCGCCAACCGAACCAAGCACATTGCCCTGCGGTACTTCTTCGTCAAAGATGAAATCGCGAAGGGGAGACTTCAACTCAGTTACTGCCCTACAACAGAAATGGCCGCAGACTACCTGACGAAGAAACTGGCGAAGGCGAAGTTCGATTACTGCATGCTGCTGACCGGGCAGACAAACGTCACCGGATCTGAACACGTCAGCACTCCAGAAACGAAGGGGAGTGTTGGAAATATCTCAAGGACTTAAGCGTTTCTGAAGTATAACACCACAATCGAGGAAGATCGTAACGAGTACGCGAGTCAACGGAGGTTACACGAGGGGATGGACAAAGAACACGAAAGGACTTGAAGGGTCGCAACCGGAGGTTGCGACTGACCGTTACAACTGCAAGAATGGTAACCGAAGTGACAATCAAGTCGCTGTGCGACTCGATAAACCGCCATTCAACTGTATTCTACAACTGCTTGTTTTCTACTTTCTATATATTACTGTATGCTTGTTCACTTTAATCAATCACTTGATTGTGAAAGTTGCTTAGTCCAGCTCGCAAAGGCAGCGTGCTTCATTTCAGATGGGTGGTTACATAGTTCTCGTCACTAGGCGCACATACAGTTGAGGGAGGGTGGGGGGGGAACTCAAACTAGAAACTGAAAATGAAGTACGTGGGTGAGGCCAACTGGCCCCACGTCCCTCTTTTGTAGGCAAAAAGAGGGTGAGAAGCGGCGCGCCGCTACCTTTGTTGTGCTGGCCACGTTTCTACTTTCACAATACACAATTTTAGAAAGAGTGTAACACTTTCAAAAATTATCATATTGTGAAAGTTGCTTAGTCCAGCTTGCAAAGGCAGCGTGCTTCATTTCAGATGGGCATTATGAGGCATGTGCATCGGGGGTCGCCGGTGTCGCTCGATCGGTTGCTGATGTCGGGCAGGTGAAGGGGCCGTGGAGGTGTCTTGTAGTTGGTTGGAGACTGCAACGAGCTGGTCCTGAGCAATGGTGACATATAGCTCCTTTGCGCTATCGCTTTTCCAGCGGCCAAGACGTTTGAAGAGACGGTCGGGGACCCCCAGGCCGGCTGCGGCCGTGGCTGCGCCCTTGCGGAAAGAGTGAGAGCCGAGATGGGAGGCATCGAGGCCGGCCTTCTCGAAAGCTTCAAGGCACCAGTTGCGAATGGTGGGGTACGATGGGGAGTTGTCTTGCGGGGTCGCGCGTGCTCCTTTGCCGAATACTCGGATGAGCGGCCCGTGCGGCATGCGCGTAAGGCCGGCGAGCTGAATGAAGTGGCGGGTGCATCGAATTGGACAGCAGGGCCCTTGTGCCGCGGCCACTGGAATCCATGAGCCTTTGCCTTCCTGGTCCGTCTTGGAGTGTGGGATGAGAAGCCACACTACCTCCTCCTCAAACTGTATGTCATTCCATTGAAGCGCGACTAGATCGGAGTAGCGCAGGAACGCCGCAAACATGAGAAGAGGGATCAGACCCTTCTGGTATTCCGCCGGAATTGGGGATTCGAGGAAGGGCCGGGCCATGCTGTGAACTTGGAGCAGCGAGAGGGGCTCTTTGTGTCTAGTAGGGCGCGGTCCGTGATGTTTGGCGTACTCTCGAACTTGCAGCGTGAAGGGGCCGCTCGTCGGGGAGGGTTCCCCTGTCATGCGGTGTGCGAAGGCTACAGCGGAGC